TTCTGGTGACACTGAATAATGTGACAAGTTGGTTCGACTGATTTATGTTACAGGTGAGAATGAAAGGAGAAAAGCATATACATACCTTCAAAGTTGTTCCGTCCCAAATACAACTCTTTGAGCATGCTCAGACTTCCAATTTCACTCGGTATTTCCCCATTGAAATGGTTTATGGATAACTCCAATATCTCAAGCTCTCTACACTTTCATATATTTGGTGGTATGGGGCCCTCGAGTTGATTGAACGAGAGTCCAAGAGCTCTCAGGTTTGGGAGATTGTTACACATATCACTTGGGAGCCTACTTGTAAAAAAGTTCACCATAATGCTAATTTCTCTTATGGAGGTCAGATTGAAGATACCATATGGGATTGTGCCCGTTAACCGGTTGGAATGTAAGTATAATATTATTAGAGAAGAACAGTTGCCGATTTCCTCAGGGATTTCGCCCGAGAACGTGTTGTTGTAGAGACTCAGCTTCTCTAGTCGAGGTAAGGACCCCGACCCATGATGGTACTTCACCGGTCAACGAGTTGACTCCGGCATCTATAAACCTCAGGAAGCACAAACGAGACAGTTCGCGCGGTACACACTCACCAATACACTTGTGTGGGTATGTGTGGATTTGAAGCCTAAAATCCTGTAGAGAAATATGAATTGTTTATGGAACGTCATTTTTTATTCACATTCTTTTTATTAATAATAATATTTATGTTGTTGGTCTTTGTACTAGGTCGGTCTAACCATTAGATAGATACTCTTTTTAGTTTTTACAAATATGCATACTTTTATTAGAAAATGTCATATTATAAAAACTACATAAATTGAAGTACGACAGTTGATAATATAAGGATGCATTTTTTTTTTCAATTAGTATGATTGGTCGATTTTATTTAGTAATTAGTTTGTTTTACACAATAATTTGTGTAATTTATATATTTGAAGTGATAAAATAGGTACGGATAATGAACTAAAATTGTCCCTCTCTCTCGCTCTAAAGTCCCCATCATAACTTAAATCCCTAGGTCATCTCCGCCTCCTCTGCAGCGGGGCGCATCGCGCCGCCTCACATCCACCATCGTTGGCCGGTGCTGCCACTCGGCCTGCCGTCGTTTTGAGGACCTCCTGGCCGTCGGGCTTTCGTCGTTTGTTCTTGGTTGTCGCTTGGAATGTGGAGGTGTCGTCGAGGTGAATGACTGGGCTAGGCGGGGTCGTCTTCGGCTGGGCACTGGCCGGTGGTTGGTGTTAAAGGTAGTTCTATTTTTTTTTGGTGTTTTGTTTCGTGAGTTGTATTTTGTTTTTTCCTCTTTGGAGGAGCGTGTTATTCTTCTGCAGAGAGTTTTTTATTTTTCTTGTTCTTGTAGTGTGCAGTGTTTTTCAACCCGGACCAGACCAGCGGGCGACTGGGTCCCGAAGCTGAAACCGGTCTGGGTGGGCTATTCGGATCGGGCAACAAAGGACCCGGTCAAACTATGTCAAATCCGGCCAACCCGGCCTTGACCCGGTCGACCAGGGGCATTAACCGGGCTGGGTCAACCCGGTTGACCTAGCCCCTATATAATTTTTTTATTTTTTTCTTTTTTAAAATATTTTTGTTTTTAATAAATAAAACTATGTATATATATTTATATGGTAAATATTTATCATGAAATACATATTATTAATACGTTAATGTACAAATTTTATATACATAACATTTAATTTTGTTACTTTTATGTATATTTATAAGACAAAATACTCTATATATAATTTAAAAAATTTTAAAATTAATTATCCGGTTCAACAATTGTCCGGTGACTCGGCGAACTGGTGACCGGTGACCTGCTCGGGTTTAAAAATTATGGTAGTGTGTGTTGTGGTATCTAAGCTGGCTTGACTAGTCCTCCTATTCCGGCTAGTTAGCCAGTTGTAATTATGTGTTTTAGTCATTGTTTTTCAACCCAGACCGGCCCGGCGAGTCTACTTGGGATCCGATCGACCCGGAGTTGGAACTAGTCCGGGTGGGCTATTTGGACTGGGTAACAATGGACCCGGTCAAAACCCGGTCAAGCCAGGTCATTGACCCGACCGGTTGACCCGGTTCCTTTTTTTTTTTTAATATTTTTTTATATAAAAAATAAAAACTATGTAAATATATTGATGTAGTAAATATTTGTTGTGAGATACAATTCCTTTAACACTTTGATGTACAAATTTTATATACAAAATATTTATTTTTGTTACTTTTATGTATATTTATATATAAAAAAATACTATATATATAATTTTAAAAATTTTAAAGTTAATTATCCGGTTCAACAATTGACTCGGTGACCCGGCGGTTGAACCGGTGACCCGAACACCTGCCCTGGTCGGGTTTAAAAACTATGGTTTTAGTATTGAATATGAAGTTTTGAAAAAATAAAGTGATAAAATAGGTGTACTTTTATTTTTTATTTTTTATTTTTTATTTTTTTTTTTGTGGGTATCATTCTTGATTTGTGCTTGTTATTCTTGCGTAAGGCCATGGTAGTCTTCTCACTATCGTGCCAATTTTCTCTGAAGTGTAGTATGACAAAAGACCAATGGCTTCTTTGCTATTTATAAGTTGTGGCTAAGAAAGGTCTATTAATTTAATCCTGATGAGTATAAGTTTGGCCATTGTGAAGACTTCTTTAGGCCTTGACTTCTGTTTTATTTTTTGCCCAATTCATGATCTCCAAGTTGACTTAGTCTTGTTTAAATTTGCTTCATAACAAAATTGATCATTGTTTTACAAAATATAACATGAATAGAATGCATTTCGTATGCCGATCTATTTTCACACATACTAATACAAGATTGAAGTTATTATCACATATGAACTTTTCCAACATTTTGCTGAAGCTTCGAGAACATGATATGTTGAAGCTGATAATAAGCAGAAAACAAAAACCGAAAAATCCAGATCTTTGGCAACACAATTTCAATACTAAAAGATTCATCTTCAAAAATCATATAAAATAAAAATAAAATTTGTCTGCTGACAATATATCAAGTTTATTTGAGTCTCTGATCTCCACAGCAGAGCTAAAAAAAATGCAATTTTCAATAGTATCAAGACTTTCTCCAGAGGAAATTTAATACTTAGGGTCGCTAAAGAAGCTATTAATGGCTGGCATGATTTCTGGAGCCCTATTGCGAACAAACTTCCTAAGAGAATGTTCGGCATACTTCTCCCCTTCTGCAAAGTTATCCAACACACCAGCAGCTCGATTTTCCTTGGTCACCCTACATTTTGCAAATACACGAACAAAGATCATCATTCAAACTCGATACAAAGAGCTAAGATTATTATTAGTTACATTCAAGATATAAGACAAATGCGAAATTATACTCCACAATTGTACAATAGTACCATCATAGACAAGTAGCATTCATCAAATAGAATGAAAAACAATTATGGAAAAGAAGATCTTATCCGACATTTTATCCTCCTCACTGTCCCGGTCTTTGCCTTACACTAAGATCCGGCAAATGATATCAGCAATGCAAGAGAGCATTATGGAAGATTCATAAACTAATAGGCATGGCCATTTGTAATGATACGAGTTGTATCGTGTATGTATTGACTTACAATTTGCAATTTCGATTTTCACAATCAACCTAAGAGCTGAAAGACAACGAGACATAACACATTAAGCATAAATCACTCATTAGTTTTCGTTTTCGCCGTTTTATGCTATACCCACAGAACCAAAGTGACTAATAAGTCACATCCATGACCTATGTAATGTAGCAATGAAAAAGTACAGAACATAAATCAAGAACAACTGACGTGGTCGACAAATGCATGACTTAAATTTCAATTCTTGATTTTCAAAATCAACCTATAAATGGGGCTGATCCATGGCTAGGACTTTTTTCGAACTGAACTATTCGCGAAAAAAGCTCGGTCGTGTTCGTTCATTTTTGATAACTCTTTTGTTTAGTAATCGATCCGAAGTTCCGAACTAGAACATGAAATTTCGTTTAGTTATCGAATGAACACGAACAAGTTCGCGAACTAATTGAGCGTTCCCGAACCAAAAAAAAAAAAAATTATTTTATAATTTTATATAGTATATACATATATAAAATATATATCATAGTTTTTAAAGGTCCTCGGGTCACCGGGTTACCGGTTCAACCGTCGGATCACCGGGTCAATTGCTGGACCGGATAATTAATATTAAAATTTTTAAAATTATATATAGAGTATTTTTGTCATATAAATATACATAAAAGTAACAAAACTAAATGTTTTGTGTATATAATTTATACATTAAAGTGTTAATAATATGTATATCATGATAAATATTTACCATATAAACATATATACATAGCTTTATTTTTAAAAAACAAAAAAAAATATATGGACGGGGTCAACCGGGTTGACCGAGTCGGGTCAATGCCCGGGTCGGTCGGGTCAAGGCCGGGTTGGTCGGGTTTTGACCGGGCTTGACCGGGTCCTTTGTTGCCCGGTCCAAATAGCCCACTCAGACCAGTTCTGGCTCTGGGTCGATCCGGGTCAAAAAACTATGATATATATACATATATAATATAATATATAAATATGGATATACATTAAATATTGAATAAAATAACTTGAATGGCATTATAATAAAAAAATAAAATAAAATAAAAAGTCAACAAACACGAACACGAACTTGTCGAAGAACAGTTCACGAAGAAGTTCGACTATATAAATGAACGAACACGAATTCGTCGAATCAATAGACGAACGAACTCGAGGAACGAATTTTTTGTTCGATTACTAAACAAACAAACACGAACATGTTCAAAAAATAGTCGAACTTGCGCTCTTTACGGTTTGATTCGGTTCGATAACAGTCCTATTCATGGCCACCCAAGAGGCAAAATCGGAACATAACACATCTTAAGTATAAATGGCTCCTCATTTTTCATATCTCCACATTTTATACAATACCCACAACCAAAGTAACTAATAAGCCACATCCATGAGCTATGCAATGCAGCAACCAAACACTAAAGAACATAAATCAAGAAAAATTGACATGGCCAACCAACAATGACAATCAGGATAGCAAACCCAAAATAAGAATTTATCAAAGATAATTTGAAAATTCTAACTTTTTCTAATGACTTCAATCTACAATACATACACAGGTCTGTTTAACTTGGATAATACAAAGGGAAATGTAATTAAAATTTGACATGATCAACAAATATATGACTTAATTTCACATTTTTATTTTCACAATCAACCTATAGATGGGGCTGATTACATGCCCATCTGGAAGGCAAAATCGAAACATAATACATTAAGTATAAATCGCTCCTCATTTTCCATTTTTCGATGTTTTATATTATACCCAACCAAGGTGACTAATAAGCCAAATCCATGAGCTTGTAATGTAGAAATGCAACAGTACATAACATAAATCAAGAAAAATTGACATGACCAACAACAATCAGAATCAAGAGAACAAACCCAGCATAAGAATTTATGAAAAATAAATTAAAAATTCGAACTTTTCCTAATGCCTTCAATCTACAATACGTTATGCACAAAGATCTCTTGTTTAACCCAAATAACAGAAAAAAAAAGATCAAAACTAAAAATAAATCGGCAGATCAACAAATTATTAGGTCAAAACACAAATACCTGACTTCGGGATTAGTAGAAATGTTACGGATCAACTGCATCCCGCAAATTCCAACGGCCACGCCGACGGCGGCGAACAAAGGGTACACCTAAAAACATACACAAAAAGCCAATCCGATCTGGTCATGTCACACACCGATTAAACGAGAAAAGGCCCCAAATTAAAGGTAGATCAAGAGAGAGATAGAGAGAGGCGGAGATCTGCGGCTGACCTCGGGCCTGAGCCACCGCTTGAGAGCTGATGATGAAGCCATTGCTCGCCGGTGACGCGGAATGAAGGTGATAAACCGTAGAATAATGCTTTTCTTTAGGGGAAAAATGGAAGCTTGTTGTGATTTGTGCGTGTGTTGTGTGTGTATATAAGCGTGGGATTTTGGTTGCGTTGAAAGTCTGATATATGGCTGCCCGCATAACGAGGCGGCTTTGCAGTTTCCCATACCAAACAGATTTTTTATTTTATTTTTGTAATATTGAGTACTTAGGCCATCTCCAGCCCTTATCTCTTACTCTAGCGCGGATTTTACTCTACTCTAGAGTAGAGTTGAACATTCATCTCCAACCCTTATCTCTAAATTTTACTCTATTA